AAATTATCATTTAGCTCGGTTTCAGACCTTTCGAAATTGTAATACGTAATATAATAGGGATAAAGGAAAGATCAGGTTGGATAATGACTACCATAGTCTATAGGGTGAGTTAATGAGAATTTTCCCAAGAGCCTTAGAAGTCAAAAGAAGCTCTCTCTTTGTCATTAGGCTTGAATATTTCAACAATTAAGTCCCCTAATCAAAGTTTTTTTAAAAGACCTGGTAGTAGAAATGGTAATCTTACTCAGAGATTTGTCAAACAACGAACGAATGATAAGTAAGCGAGAGAAAGGTGTTATTTTTGTATTAAAATAAGTTGCTGGAGTAGTAGGAACAGAGGTTTTAGTTCAGGACCTTGAACAGATAAATTCAAGTTTCAGAAGTATAGAATACAATTTGTTGCCTGCTGACCCCACTCACTAATGCCAGTGTTTTGTGGGCACTACTCAAGGACACAATACCAAATATAGGTGTCCAACAAAGGGGCTCAGTGGATCCTAGTCCCAATTTACCAGTGGAATGACCCTGTTTGTGGCAACTCCAAGGACATCCAATTGGAATTGAAGTCCAAAGCATTATATCCAAATCAGGAGTTCATATGAAGGGATAGTACTAAAGTGAAAGAAAGTAAACTTGAGGTAGTTTCTTTTAGCAAAATATGTATTCCACTATGTTTTGTATTTTTTATTTTATGAAAGACTGGCAGTTTGCCCTCAATAGTGAGTTTCTTGACTCCATCTGGAGGTTTTGTTATACAGCATCATTCTTCGTTCCTGAAGGCTGTATGTAGTCTATCTTCAATTATCAACTTATTTGAATGTTTAAAAGTATCAGAAGTTGCTTGAAAATTGTCAGCGTTGCTATGCCCAGATGTCTTTCCATGAACATTTCATTGCAAGTCAAATAGTGCTTGGTGTTGTAGCATGAAGTGACTACTTTTCAATCGAACTACAACTGTGCTCTTATTTGACAAATTATATTTTACGTTGTTTCTGAAATAAACTCGGAATGAAGCGAAATAGATGGACAATGGCATGTCTTCTTCCAGTTTCTTGTACAAAGCTTATTTACACTGAGATTTTAAAGAACGTGAAAATGGGAAATACACGTTTGACTAACAGTATTGCTGAAAGACGCAAATTTTCATTAACCATAGTTCTGCTTAAGGCACTTAACGTATGTTTAAAG